GGTGTTGAAGCTTCTGCTCTCCAGGCACTCCATTCACCTACCCACCAATTCACTGTTTCACCAAAAGGAGAAAGTGTAGGATAGGTCTAGGTTTTCCATATCACTACCTTTATCGTAATCACACTTCTCGGACGGACAGACATACAAACCGACAAACCTACAAACCTACAAACCGACACACCAAGTTACTGCTTTATAAATAAGAAGGATATATATATGTATATATCTATCCTATGCTTCTCATATTATACCCTATGTGAAAAGAATAATCGATTGTCAGTGTTGCTACAAGATACTATTTACAACCTATTTTTTCGTGAGTGTGTATTCCAAAAATGTATGTAAGTATACTACACTCCAGTCCCCTAAGTCAACACTCTCGAGGTGAAGAAGAGAACTCTGTTCATTGCTAGCAATCCCTGACGGATGAAAGGAATTCATTACAACTATTTGATCCCATGCGTTTGTTCCACATCACGTGCCAAACTGTCAAGTCTCCATTGTTAATGCCATTATTATATGGCTCTACCCTTTCAGGGATTTTCATCAGCCTTTATGACTTTTATAAGCTCCTAGCCTGGAACCAATCGTTCTCGATCCTGTCACCGCCAAAATGTTCCGCGGTTAACGCGAAGAGCGTAGCGTCTTGGTTTTGACAGCTCATTATCAGCCGGTATCAGTAGTTATCAGCTCCCGTCACCGCGTACCTACGATCCTGTCACATTTCACATCATCATTACTTATTATCATTCCCCGTCTCCAATCATTGACGGTCTCTTCACATCCTACACCACATGGTGAAGTGCCGAGGCTTCACCGCTTATACGAATGGGGTTACGGACCCTGCGTCTTTTGCCTTCAGAGGCTCCTTATCAGTTTCTATATATTGTTGTCACTTCCTATCTCACATTATCAGTGTTCTTATCCTGCTGTCTATCTCTCTTTCGAATATGAATGCTTTAGCTACAGTGGGACAGGAGTTACGAATCTGGGGTCGAGGAAACACACAACACACACATACACACACAAACACACCAACAGACACACTTAGCCGATTATAAAAGTAGGATGGGGAACGAGTTGCTGGTGAAGAAGGTTGACAAAAAGGTATAATGGCCATGATAAAGGCTGATAGGCGTTAGTTTCATTGTCTTTTCACTCCTTACTTCCTACCATATTATCATCACCACGCATCACAGTTGGCGAATTAAAACGAGCATCACGTTCTCGAGACATTTCTACCGTTCAATCATGTGCTCCTTATATTTTGACGTCATTCTCCCCCGAGCCAGCCATCTCACCTTAAGTATAGAGCATTTAACGCCCTATCCGGTACATTCATTTTGCAGGGGGCATATTATCGCTCGTTAGCTCATAGTCTACATGTACCCTAAGAAGCCTGCTTGTCGTCTCGACATAATAGACGATAGCACAAAGGATTACCTCGCTAACTCTCAGTAGGTAGTCGCCAACGTACTTCACTAGTATGTATAAGTCTTCACGAGGCAAAAATCCATGGTAAAAGTCAAACTGCTTCAAATTCTGCAAAAGTCTTTAAATATACATTCTAGCAAAGAGACCAACCCGTCGATGAATTGAAACTGGAAAGTTGTAGCGAAACTTCAGAGGAAGTGTATTCAATTTTGTGATGAGTGTTATAGAAAGCGCGCATTGGAACGAGGGGAGAAACACACTTTTTCTTCATCCTTGTCGAAGACTTGATCAGCCTCTTTGATATCTGATTTATCTGGTGGACTGGGGCGTTGACCCTTTGATTTTTCTTCTCCGGGGTGCTTCTCTGGTGGACTAGCGCGTTGAGGCTTTGATTTTTCTTCTCCCGGTTGCAGTTCGGTGTCAAGATCAGGCGTCATTGTGACTTTGGACTTGACATCTGATTTCTTCACTCTTTGGGGCAACTGGAAAAAGCTATTTCACAAATTAGCCAAAGTGCAATTTCTCACTATGACATGGTTTCTAAAAGGTTTTATGCTTTACTGGAACAGTTCACGGTATTTTTGGGGTATCTAGTTTTAGGGAGTAGTTGAAACGAGGAATGGAGTGATAGTCTGAAGATCAAAGTGTAGTTTAGGAAGACTTCACCACAATCTTAGTTCAAGCGAAATAATGAAAGATCTGGTTCATAGTAATGGAAAATTGCGGAAAAAANAAAAAACGCGAAGTTCGGCTTGTTTGGAGATGTGTAAAGTTTCGAAAAATGTCTCAGGAGTTGGACGAGAAGGTGACGACAGAAGTTGCATGAAAGGGTAGTGGACGAGCTGTTCAAATTTGCTCGCCATCGGCTAGAGCTGGTTGCAGGGTGTTGTTTGCGTTCAAGGTTTGGGCCCTGGTGCGAACGATGCAACCTCTACAACCGTCAAAACTCTTACAAACACGGGTACTTCAGCTGGGGCCCGATTTTGGGGCTAATTATGCACTATCTTGCCTGTTTTTTGAAATGGCACGCTATACTTAGGGTTAATAGTCAAAGGTCCAAAGGAGAAGTCTAAGAAATCATTTTCAACGTGAACTGTGCCTATTTCGGGCTGCGCAAACTAATGAGTGCATCACAACAAAGTATGCTTTCATGAACCCTTTGACGACAATCACGTTTTGCTAGGAAAGCGCCGCGAGGGACCGTCGCGGTCTTCGTTCACACGCGACTGCAGTCCGCATGTGGACTGCATGGTCCAGCATGACTGTTTCGAATTTCGAACTGGGAATTTTTAGTTTTATATGAATTCACAAATTGAGGTAAATTGAGGTTATGGCTGATAATGGTATGCAGAACTCGAATTCTGGTCAGCTTCTGACCGGTTCTGATGAGGAGCAGGCAGAAGATGGAGTTGACGCAGCTTATGCGCTCCTCTCGAGCTGTGTCGATTTTTGATCGAGCGAAATTGAAGAATACACTAGATTCACTTTCGATGAGAACTGCAGCGCATACGATGATGTTTTGACTTGTTCAAATCATTCTTGGACAACAATATTACGAATTTGAATACAACAGAAGTCAACGGGTATGGCAATGCAAAAGCTGCCGCAGTTGGAAACACATTCACGGGAATCAACAACGGAGATATTTGTAAATCTTTTAGAATGTGCCTTTAAATGGGTCTGGTACCCACATTGAAAGATTACCCACATTGAAAGATTATTGGTCTTCGGAACCGGCACTCGGTCTAGCGGTCACTCAATTATGAGTTCATTCATTACCAGAAATCGTTTCTATGAGCTTCTACGAGCTTTGCATTTGGTCGATATATACTTATGACGACCGTCTTCTCAAAATATCTTTTTTTTGAAGTTGTTCAGCGAACGAAGAATTCACCACTGGTAATGTACTACTTCGAAAAAACGCCATTGGAACTGCAAAGCCAGAAGATTTCCTAAGACTACGCAGTATGTAGTCTCATTCAGACCTGATTTAATGTTCCAAAGAGAAAGTGAAAAGTGGAAATATAAATGAATAACTTGAACAATACAACTGCAGTCCACTTGTGGATTGGTCGTCGGGTTAAGAACTTTCCCATCTGAGATCCACCCCTCAAGAATGTGGTCTCGTGAGCCATTGTGGAATCGAGCTATAATTCATGTGGAAGCTACGGACCCTGCGATGGCACTTCCCCAACCCGGAAGATTTCCCTCGCTTGATATAGAGACCCATTCCTCACTTAGGCTATTTTTCCCGGTGTCTGTGCTGATTTAAAAGCAAGTTAGTAAGCGTAAGGGAACAGAGCGTAAGCGAACATTAGCGCCTAATAGCACCTAATTAAGTTCTCCTCGCACCTAGGCGCGAAGTGACCTTGATTAGGTGCGAAGGCTCCATGACAATTATGCTGTCTTACATCGCTACTAATCGAGTCAAAACTTATCAAATGATGGAATAAGTATAGTAAAGGAGATGATTTTCAAAAAATAGTTTTGGTAGTAATAGGGTTTCTGACAGGAAAAAATTCAGCATTACCTCTTCAAGAGATCGCTAATAATAAAATTCCTGACAGGAAAAATTTCAACATCACCATTTTATTCCCGCGAGTAGTAAGTGAACTTATTAGGTCTCTGGTTAAAGTTTCTGACAAATGGGAAAAAGTAGACTAATTAACTTGTTTTTCCAGATTTTCGCTGGGTGGCGGAACTTCTCTCCGAGTTCCCATGGCCAGCGGCAGTGGTTCCGATGCAACTGCCCTATCTTTCCACTGAGAACTCAAATCTTTCCCGTGCAGCGAGCACGACACGCCTTTCAGAGAGAAGATACCAGACCCATTGTCGCTCATCTGTGATATCAGACATCTTTTACAGAAGCGGCGCAATTGTTTGCTGTTAGGACTGCTCTTCATTAGGAGGTCACTGAACGCCCTTTGACTCTCATTCAGACAACTTCACAATCTTTACAAAAGGGTCCACATTATTAGGCATTAGCTGCCCTTATGCGCCTGAAACAAGTAAGGGTTTCTATGCAGGATCAGATAATTGTCTTCTTAGTGTCAGATTCTGTTTTTCAGTGCATGAAGAGAGCTGCAAAGTTCAGGAAGCGGAGCCCCAATGTCCATCAACAGGTATCGCTTCGCTTCATTCGCGAGTTTGTGGGAAGATTGCAATCGGATTGTCAAACTCCTTCACGATAGAGCTAGGAAGAAGAGGCTCTACAAGTAGCCATGGGACGACTCTCTTAGAAGACCCCCAAGCAGTTAGGCATGAAATCGCGCGAGCTGCAAGCAATAACCACCCAATATCCAATTTTGCAAAACTATGGAGAGAAGCGATTAAGAAAGACCTGAAAGAGAGAACAGCAGCAGTTATGGGCGAAGCCGCCGAAGATGGAAATATCATCCGCAAAGCGCGACGGAGCTTCGCCAATTACAAGACCAAGATGACTCCCTTTCGTCATTGACGGAATTACTGCATTCTGAAGGACAATAGAGGAGCTCATCTACGACTCCTACTCCGATCTCCTGAACAGCCACGTCTATCTACCTACCTACCATTTTAGGCAAGACGGATATGACGGCATGCCATAACGTCGATGAAGAATTGTACTGCGCCCGGTCCTGATAGTATCAGAACCACAACACTGGCTCGGTTTTCACGAGGTACCTAACGGAATACAAAGTGCCTCTGTGGAACAATAGCAAGACTGTGTTGCTGTACAGGAAGAGAGATGCAAACGATATTTTCAATTGTTGCACAAGATGCCTAGTGCCTATAATTTATAAACCTTCCACACGCGTCATTCTTGACGAGATCGGCAGAATGTTAGATGAAACACAGCCATGCAAGCAGGCAGGGTTTTCTTAGAAGATTCAGTACAGTCGATTACACCCACTTTGTTATAAGACAGACTAATTGAAGTATTGCGGGAGTACAAAGTGCCGTTATGTCTTAAGTTCATCGACTTAAATACCGCAATGGTACCGTCAAAACAGTAATCGAAGTCCTGGGCGACCAGGGTATTCCTACTCAATGTGCAAGAATGCTTTGAGCTCTACAAAAACTTAAAGAACAGGATCTCGTCACTCTACGAAGAAGTTATAATCAACATGAAGACAGGTGTTTGACAGGGCGACACCATCTCACCCATACTTTCCAGTGCCACTTCTGAAAAGATCATGTGTCACATGGAATGGGAGGCATGAAGTTGACGGTCGATGTCCTCTACATACATAATCTTCGCATTGCAGATCGTGCTTATAACAGCGAACATCGAGGCCGATTAAGACAGCGCCTGCGGATAGATCGGTTTAGAAAATAACTCGACGAAGACGATGTTTATGGGAAACAGATCGTTATCTGATGCCCTCTTTATGCCAAACGGAACGGATATCTCGAAATGGTTCAATTACCTGTGTATCTAAGTCGAGAAGTCAATATTACGAACGACTCACTGCCTGAGCTGAGCAGAAAGAAACGCGCGGCGTGGGCAGCATTTGAAATATCGAGGAACTATTGAAGAAGACAAAGGATATCCCGCTTTGTTCTGATTTTACGATCCACAATACTTACCGGAGTGCCAAGGCAACGCTAATGCGAAGGAGGTGACGGATATTGTGGCTATTGTTTTCCAAGGCTCCTAGTTATTGTCATCACATCCTGACATCTATCATCGGTGTTCCCATACTGCCGCCTGCACTGTACCAAATGGGAACGCTCTAGGTTGAAATTGACCGTTTTCGCGCACCCCGTGCCAACCGCCATCAAAGTTCTCATATGCTGCTTGTATTATTATTAAAGGATTGAAATGCTCCAGGTTCGAGAAAATAGGATCTACAAGTTTACGGGTACATTGATTTGGCGCACGCCCGCCCATCTATGCGGGGTATATTTCTGCCACCTACCCACCAAAGTGTTTCCATACTGCCCCTATGCTATAGATCTTAAATAAGAGTATCTGCTCTAGTGGGCAGAGTCTTGTCTTGCCACCCACTATAAGTGTTCTCTTCCCACCCCCTACTCCTGCTGAACTCGAAACTTTCAGGTCCGCTGAAACAGAAGTTATGAAGTCCCGCTCAAACATACACATCATACCCTACAAATATGATGAACACCTCATGTCCAAAATAATGGTTTTTGTATACGTCCTGCCCTTTGTGGCAATCTAGTCGTGCGACCTATATACCATCAGCATTCCCATACTGTCGCCAATCAAAACGCCCTGGACCCAAATCAAAAGTTTTCACCCACACCCGCCTCTAGCGTGCAAAGCTTAGTTCTGAGCGTTTCCATCGCGCAGCAGACCATCCTTGTGTTCTTTTGACTTCCCGAGGGATTCAGTCAGTTATCGCCCCGGTCCGACGGCCATCACGATACCACAATACGTGCCGGTTCACCTGATCTCTGATTCCTTGGCGTAATCAACGGCATCCCTTACCTTCGTTCGATGACGGAGCACGGAGCTCAAGATTCTCTTCTGCACTTGCATGTCGGGGGGGATTACGAGCACCGCCTTTGTCAAAGGGCGTAAAATGACGCAAACAGCATGCTCAGCCTTCACTTGTAGAGTTCGAGACGTAGTCGGAGTAGTTGGAGCTGGAGCAAAGTCGGATCACTGCTTCTTCGATATCCCTAAGTGCTCCCCACGCCGCGCGTTCCCCTCTGCATAGCTATAATAGTAGGTCGTTCTTCATATTGTCTTCTCGGTTTAGATACGTCAAGTTCAATCCTGAGCCGATCTATCCGCAAGCGTTGTATTAGCGCTTCTTTCCGGAAGCGGCAGTGGAAAATTTTGTGCGAGATGGTAACGCCCTGTCGAATCTGTTCACGTTGATGGTGGCTTATTTATAGTAGCGAGATCTTGGCCGTAAAGTTGTGCAGAGCCCTCAAAGCATCCTCATGTATTAATATCAACACACTGGTTGTCCAGGGCTTTAATTACAGCGATGATTCTTCATCGATGTTGTCGCTTGCGAAATCTTTCCACAAACTCGCAAATGAGGCGAAGTGATCCCTGTTGACGAAGATCTTTATGCTTCGATTCTGAACTTCGCAGCTCTCTCTCTTCATGCACTGAAAAACAGAATCTATCGCTGAGGAGACAATTATTTGATCCTGTGTAGAACATCGGCAGAACAGCAACATCTGGCAGGTAAAATTTCGATTGTGTTATAACTTATACTTATCAAAAAATTTTCAGTCCATTTTAATGCGTAAAGACGAGATTGTTTGAACTGCGTTTTAACTACATGTTCACAACGGCAGACGTTTGATTTGGGTTGTCGAGCCTCAGTACAAAACGATGTTCGTGAACAAGTTCGTTTTGCACGATGTTCATGAGCAAGTTCGTTTTGCCGAGAACATCTAAGCCGCCGACGCCTCTGCTGTCGCAAGGAACAGCTGCTCTCATGTTTCGAACGAGCTGTGCTTTTCGTTCCGGTCAGTGCGGTGGCTTTGTACTTGTCCTTATTTGCTTGCATCATCAGATCTTCCATACACCGGTAAGCGTCCGTGCGTTGAGGTACGATAGCCATCTTAGTCCTTCTCCTTTTATGGCACTCTTTCGGCCCTGCGCTTTTAGCAGCCTCTCCCGAGCGTTCCTACCCAATGTTGCCGTATTGGAACTCCCTCAGATTCAGGGGCATGGATCCCATTCAAATTACTGTTTTCGAGAAATGGGTACATACGTGTAGCTTTAACGTAGTTGCTGAGTTGACTTAGGTGGCTAGCCAGACACTCACAGAGTGAACGAGGAGCTTTGCTTTTGGAGACGGCCTCGAATTCCCTAAAAGATACTTCCCAGTCATCTGAATGCAAGCTTTTGGCTGACTGTGAGTCGATGGGCAGGATACCAACTACCTCTACAGACTTTTTACACACGTGTGTGTGCATACACCTGCGAGATACAGAACTTATATCGAACCAGCACAGCAGAACTGCTGCCTCTAGCCCTATCAAATTTGAACGCCCGGGACGTTTAATAGAAATTTCACGCTTACTGCACCCTCGTAAACAGAGTCTAGTCGTGCCACCCACCATGAATGTTCCGATATCGCCGCCCCTACTCCTGCCGATTTTAAAAGCTCCGATCTATTACAGGAACCGTGATTTTACGGTCAAACATCTATTTCGTTCATGCTCTGTCCCCTGTAGGCGGAGTCCATGCTCGCCAAATACCATGAGTGTTTCTATTGTGCCATGTGTACTCCTACCAGGTTAGAACCCTTTAGGCCAGGAGCCATGAACTCACGGTCCCCCACATACACATTCACCTTACACATACATTTAGCGCGTTATATATAGTAGGACTATATGCTGAGTAAAATGATACCTATCGTCCCGTTTCGACGGTGAGACAAAAAGGGCTGCGAGGTGAAGCTCAATTGCTGATATTTCCATTACTCACCCTTCTTCAGTACAGCTTGGACAGACCTCAACCTATTCTAAATACTACTTATAATTCGCTAAGCGTATCTGTTGGTTTATCGGTGTTTGTGTGTATGTGGGAGTCGGTGTGTGTATGCAACCAGAAATATATAACTCGTGTCCCTGTGCACCTGGAGCATTCAAATTTGGTAGGTTACACTTCTCGTATTAACAGTGGAACCTCGGTATTTTAATAAATGATGTAGGATATGACGGGATCGTAGATACTCGGTGACGAGAACTGATATCAACTGATAAGAGAAGATAAGGGACATAAGAGAGGCCACCTGCCTATCAAAATCCTAACGTCTTCGGTATTTACGATGTAGCTCTGACCGTTCAGTATGTTTCATTCGACAAGACGGAATGGTAGAGTAGGGTGACAAGAGTAAGTGGTAAGTGCAGTAATGGGGACACAGCGGCACTACGATAAGCAGATAAGAATGCTGTTCATTTCTTGCTAATATTTAGATTACGACCGCTACCCGACAAGGTTTGTGACTCAATGATGGATCCTCTTTGTTCTATATCATTTGCAACAGAACTTGACGAGCGCCAGTAATCTTGAGTTCTCAACTAATGGCATATTCGTAAAGAGAACAGTCCATTGATGATGACATCTGATAATGGTGTTTTCATCGCTCGAAACATTTGTGAGTACCGCCCTAGGCTTTGGTTGTCTGACAGTTGAAATCTTGATGGGTATTTATTTTTTCTATGAAACATAACAGAAGATCGAGACTTCCAGTTGAAGAAGTATGCACCAACTTACTCTAGATACCATTTTCACTGCCTCGTTGGTCCTGTGTTAAAGTTTGTGTACAGGGAACTATTGTTTGTTCCAAAAATGAAGTGGAGAGTTAGCCGATTACTACAACTTTGTCAATCCCGCCAGAAGCTACTATTTCCGAACAGTAAATACGAAGAATCACCATTTTGTACGGAGCGGTTGTTGGAACTTGAATAAGCATTGTTATTCCTTCATATGGTTCATTAGTGTTCGCGGTGTCCTTAGACGAAGGGAAGAGGAGTTAACCGCAACCACAAGCGCAACTACTAAACTAGCTGAAATCTGAAATGCTTCATACTCTTGTAGATGTGCATTATGCTCATCAGTCAGTATTGCCTGTTACTGCAAACATCTACAATCCTATCTGGCAACAACAATGCTTGAGGGGTATGTTTAGAATGTTAAATTCCTCATATGCCATTGGCAGAGCAGGTGCAAACAATCATGGAAAAAAAGCAAATCTGCTCGGCGTACGAGTCCATCCCCATAAAGATGAGTGCCAGTGAGTTAGCCAGTGAGTAAACAAACTCGACCTCACTCATTGTTATCAGAACTCACCGGATTCTGCTTTCGCGGAACGTCCACTGATGTTGCGGGCATTTCTTATAACTGAACGTTACTGTGTACGTATGTTGATGGGCTGAGTTGTTCGTTGATAACTGACTAATCTCTCGAGAGAATTTGAAAATGCCGGCAGGCGACCGATCTTTTCACTACACCCAGCCTTGGATCTCAGCAAGACTGTAGAGGCTTGTGACCGGGAAAACACGGTCTTAAGCTCTTCAGCCTCTGTAAAAGTCGCTTTTGCGAAAATGCAGTACGCGCGGGTAGTGACCGGTGTTTTGACTACAAATAACCTTGAATTCAGCTAGCCTGCATATACTTGTGATCGGAAACTTCCTCAGTTTCTGAAGAAGTCGATTATCTAATCTATGTATGAGCTCAGTCAAGCAGTACAACACTTGCAAGTAGATGTATACATTATACTCGTGCGAGCGTTTAAGGTGAAATATAAGGTGTTTGTAGAGCAAGCTGTCATTGCTCACAAGGGAAGGATAATTGGTCGCAGTGGCCATTCAAGATGAGATGTATACGCCGTAGGTGGCTTCGAACGCTGATCTCAAATCTGTGTTCCAAATCTGCGAAACGATTCTGGGAACAAAGTTACGGGACCGGGCCTCCCTGTGTTATACCACTGCGCTGAACGGATCACCGAGTCGAGCAAAGGCCTTACCT